GTGCCAGCCCTGGCCGCCCCCCGGCGAGGCCAAGGCCGGACCCAGCCAGCAGCACCGCTGCTCCCTCCCTGGGGCAGAGGCAAGGCCCCTGCACTCAGCACCGCATCCGGAACCGCGCTCTCCCAGACCGTCTGTGAAACCAGCTTCATCGGCACAGACAGAACTCATTAACAATCTCGCTTCACCACATTAACCAATAAAACCTTCGGCTATTCTAACTGTAACCAACTGCCTTAAAAATGCTTCGCACTTAAAATCAGATGAAAGAAAAAGCAAGTGTGGAGTAAAATCTGAAGGGTGAAACACCAATAGCTTTTTTCAAAATAGTTTTAATTCCTGCATCCAAGGAAACAAAACCACATCTAGTTTTATATGCATTTAATAGTTTACCAATTGGTACAATAAGATTTTTTTAATATGCAGAAAACATGAATAAATTTTGTTTTACACAGTCTGAGAGCAACAAATCTTACTGTAAAACACAGAGCAGTATTATATACATTCCTTTACTGATTTTTTTTTTTTTTTTTTAAATTGTGTCAATAGCTTCAGTTAACTCCTACAGTCTGGGAACTGTTTTCTCCAATTGCAACCTCTAACATCGTTCTTATGAAAAAATTTGATGTTTGCCTTCACGTCAATGTCAGGATCGACTTCTAAAACTCGAAGGTTTTGCTAACTTATCTTCCGAATGAACCTGGGGAAGCCTGAGGGATAGGTAGGACGAGAAAGCAGCTACTTACATGACACAGTGGAAAGATAAAAGGCCAGTTAAATCCAGTTGTGACTTGTAAATCCAACTCAACCTTCCCCGCTCCTAACATGTTTATCCCTACCACTTTATGCACGTATTCTTGCTAGAAGATTCTTGGTATTGACTTTTAAATACACTGGACTTTATGTACAGCTGGACAGCAAATAACTCATTCTAAGTGTGTTTTTCCTTCACTCAACTCAGTAATTTTTTTTAATATTCAAATCATTAAAAGGATTATCAAGCCACCACTGTCTACAAAAACAAAGTATAATCTTTTTCTTTTAAATAGCTTTCGCACGAGGCAAAAGCTATTTAAGAGTGATATTATCAGGCAGTTCACATAAAAACAGGAGGAGGCAAACAGGAGAAGCAGGGTACTGACAGTATAAGTAGACTGGGCTCAGTGAGTCTATAGCCAAAGCTTTCAAAATACTACAGTGCTCCACAGCCCTTGGACAACTTGCTAGCAACTAGATTTTTTTTTTTTTATTTTTATTTTTAATTAGTGCCCCGGGCACATCATTGGTCACACCATACACAAAAGCAGGACGGTTTTTTTTAATCTTCTAAAGTGCAAGATGCTATAAAAACATCAACTTCCAGATTATGTCTAAACCACAATAAATGTTGCACTTTTTAGAATGCATCTAAGACTTCCTGGGCACATTACATTAGTGTGGCACTGGAATGTCTGTCTGGTTTTAAGCCAAAAAGTCTGTATTGTCTATTTGGTAACACAGTCTATACATAGTTCTTTTTCAGCGACGCCAATTTTGGTAAGGAAAGTGACAAAGCAGCAGTGAGCCTCTTAAACCCTCTAATAAATTTATTTTGTAATCCAAACCAGTAACCTCATTATTGTACTTATCATCACAGGAAAGGCACAGGATTAGCTGACAGAAAACATTGCAAACGGCAGAAGACGTTCAACACTGTAGTATCACGGAGCGACACTGCAGGAAACCCTCACAAACCCAACTCCTGTGTCGTGGCTTTCACTTTTTTTGTCTAAACAGGGCTTTAACTTTTGATCCGTTCAGGACCATCCCTGAGATTACTCACTGCTTATTAAAGGAGAAGGTTGCAAATTGTGTTGCAGAAGTACTTAGCAGAGTGTTTCACACAAGCAATTAAATGCTGCTTACATGACTTCAGTTAGTTGTTTGTCCTTGCAAAGAGCTGTATGCTAAAGGGAAAAAATGCAGTAGACAACTTCCACTTAATAGGTACCTTTAATTTCTCATTCATGTTTATGAATTATGTACATGAGTGTGGTTTACTTTATACTTAAATAAAGTTTATAGGTCCTGTCAGGAATTAAACAGACTATGACTTTACAGTTGCAGATGCACTGAGGAATTTTAAGATGCACTACTTGTGTATCTGGAATTCTTGAATAGGACAAAAAGCAGCAATTTTTTCCAGTCCAAGCAGCTAACAAACAAAAAAAATACTTTATTTGTGCATGCTTAACTGCAGAAACACACCCTGAAAATTACATAAACCACTGGATTTAAGAGATCAGCCTGAATCTTACCCCCCACATCAGAACTCCATTTCCTCCCCCCCTTCCCAGAGGCAAGGCTACGCCAGTACAGAAGCCCACCTCCTCTAAGCAGAAGGACAGATCCTTCTGTGGGCGACTGCAGGAAAGGAACCACCACAGCCTTCACCCTTTTAGTGTGTACACCCTCCTGCCGACCTGATGTTGGTCAAGGATTCTCATTTTTAAAAGGGACAGTTTTAAAAGCCATGTATTAAACAAAATTAATAAAACAAAGCACAAATTCACCTGTTAAAAACATCAGACTGGTACTTCATTATACTGTGAATTTTAAAGTGGATTTTTAAAACGATCTGGTTAGTTTGATAAGTATTGTAATTCTTCATTATCTACAATGGAATTTGTCGCAAAAATGCTGACTAAAATATTAATTTATAATATTTTCATTCACTTCAGATCAAAAGATGTAACTTTAAGGATCTGCAAATTAAAAATGGTATACACCAAACAACATAAATACTAATAACCAAGCTTGGCTAGTTTTGCTGGTAAGATTTGGTTCAGTTGGTTGGTTTGGTTTTTTCTTTTTTTTGGAAATGTTTACTTGATAGCATCATTCCCACACATGGACTTTGTTTTGTTGATGGTGCTTTGTTTTTCTTTTAGAAGCCTGTATCAATCTGTATCTGCCATTATAATCTGATTCTCAAGGTATTTAGTGCTTTCTTTAAAGCATTTAAATACTGTATCCCAAGATACTTCTCAATATGCAAACCACAGTATGTCTTTATTCAAGCCACATTGTCTTGTCAAGGTAAGTATAACCTCATTTTCAAAAGGGTTTCCAAGGAGGCACTAAAGAAACCAAGAAACCTTTGTATACCCCGACCTCCTGCAAGTGAATAAGAGGGAAGTGTACTTTGATACTGTTGTGTAATAGGAATTGCACATCTCTAACAAACATTGAAAGCAAACAGCAAGTTGTACCACGGCAGTCATTTGGGTTATTAAGCTCTATTGGAAATTAGATCACTAAATTCTAGTGGGATGGACAACTCCTCCTGGAAGTTCGTCTAAGCATTAAAAAACAAAAAAAGAAAAAAACAAAACAAAAAAAAAAAAAGAAAAACCATTTAAACTTAGTTCAACAGCACAGCTTAACCATTGAATGACCAAATAAAAAATAAATACATTTATCACATCAGCTGCTACTAAGATTTGTTGCCTTGTTTCAGGTTTACAGTTAGTTATATAAATATACCAACCCTTGCGTGATAGGAGGCCAAAACAAGTGTATTCTGTTGATTTGGCAAATGTTTCATGACAAATATTCCAGAGTTTAATTAATTTCCATTAATTACATATAAGGTTCAGAAGATTCTGAATTGCAGCCTTATTATCTAGTATTCTTAAAGAAGATTTATTAAGCACACTTAAGTGATGTTACATAGATACACATTTCTGAAAGAGCCCTACAAAACTTTTCCCAAATGAGGTCACCAATTCAGGCACCAACAGACAGCAGAAAGAAAAACAGGTATAATTATCCGACATAGAACGACACTGTCAACTATTCAGTTAAGTGCCCTATTTCAATTATCCAACTTCTGCCTTCTTAGGTCTGATGTGACCAATGCCAGCCCATGTTCTTAAACCTATGGTACTTCTAGACAACGTATGTAAATTTACAGTATACAATTTGGATTCACCATGCATGAATACTTTGTGTGTAACATTTAATAAGCTCAATCTACATCCAGAATAATTTACATGAAAGGACAATATTTATTTAAACAGAGCTCAATGGGTAACCATGGTATCTGAGTGCATCCAGAGGAAAAAAGGGGTCAAATGTGAATTCAATCAACGGCACTCCCACACTTTTACTGTTTGATCTACACTTCCAGTAACCACATACGGTGCCGTCTTGTGGAAATCTGTGAGGAAAGAAAAGCTTATGTTAAGAACGAGTCCAAAACTTCAGTATTTTCCACTCTCACTGAATGTCATTACCTTTTCAAAAAAAAAAAAAAATCACACCAGCTCAAAGACTACATTTCAAAGCTCATCATGTCTGTAGTTCTGAAGACAAATTCTCTCATGCCATAATTTTGCAAAGCATGAAAACCTTCTTTCAGTTCAGTTATAAATATTTCATATATACAAATCGATTTTGGACCGGTCAGCAGACAGTACTGGGGAGTTTAACCAAGAGGAATCAAAAACCCTCGCTGTGTAGAAAGGGTTCAGCAAAGCAACCTGTAAATGGAAGCAGCCAATCTATGCTAACGGTTTAACATTCTTCAACTCCTAACTTTTCTCTGCCCCTTTCTGATCAGCTGTCTTCAACAACGTAAGAGTGCAGTGAAGAGTGCAGAAACCCTGCATTTTGATTACACCTCCAAGTTTGATTAGGAAACCTTAGTAGCCAATTCCAGGTACACTGCTAACCTAACTGAGCTTTACTGAAGAAGCTGTAAACTGCCAGAGAAATACAGAGAAAAAAAACCAATAGAGAAGGCTCCAGAGTAAAGCTAGCTTTGTTGAATAGGGAAGGTTTTGTTTTGTTTTTTTTTTTATTTTGCCAGGGCAGGAGGGAACTAAGGTCTACCAAGACCTGGCAATACCAACCAGGAGCACCCAGGAATTCAAAGTATATTTTTTCTGACTGTTTTGCTTTGCACTCCACCCCCCCCCGGGCAAGCATTTGCAATACAGCACTCCCCAAATGCCTACAAACTCAGTGCTGAAAGGTTCCAGAACACCCTGGCAGTTAACATCTTTATCCAGTGTGTAACACTGGCAACAGAAGTGGAAAAATCCAGCACACTCAAAATTTATATGTGCCCTTATTTAATTAAAATACACATAACACAAAACTTCACTAGAATCCAAAACATGAATGTCTAGCTCAGTGCTCAACTTCAGCTGGTGAAGATGTAGAAAAATCTGTATCTCTGGCTCTGTACTTTGCAGTAAGCACTGTAGAACATACATACCCAAAGAGGTAACAAAGTGTTCGTGCGCATTGAGGGTTTTCATGCATCGTTTGTTCTTGAAGTCCCAGACACGTAGAGTCTTGTCATCAGCACAGCTCAAAATAAATTTTCCCCCAGAATGGAAGAGAACACCACGTACCCAGTTATCATGGCCCACCTTGTGCACAAGGAGAAATCAGTGAGCAGGTGCATGTTTTAAGGCTAAGCATTCCACAGTTTATGCTATGGCAAACTGAGTGACTCCTTGCCCTGTTCTGCAAGCATAGCATTTAACTTTCTAAAACTTATGAGAACTCAAGGTTTATCTTCAGTTTCTATTATTACATCTTTATCGGCGCTACCAACAATGTCAGTTCCTGTCCTTGAAGGCAAACACACAGAAGTCCTCATGTGATCTGCATTGATTCTGCTCCCTGACCCCAGCACCAACATCCAGTCCAGCCTGAATACAGGCTGGAGAAAGCAGCCCATACCCTGAGGGAAGACCCATGCATTGAAAGGACCCGACATTTTACAGAAGACAGAGTTCAGATGATTATCAGCATTTCTGTAGACAAACCAAGCTACTCATCACAAAAACTACACCACAGTACTCCTGCATTTATAATATGTATTTTCAGCTCGTTACTATTTCTTCGCAACAAAAAGATCTGAAATATAGAAGCCATTAAAACTATGTATTTCCAGTCATCGTCTTATTGAAATAACTCTGTCTCTCTTGAAAACATGTAAGATGATTCATTCTGTTAAAACTGGTTTTACATATGCAGCTATGACCGCCAGAAAAGCAGCAGTGAACTTACAAGTGTCATAAGGCACATGCCAGTGCTAATGTCCCACATCTTAATGGTCTTGTCTCTGGATCCAGACAGCAGAAAAGGCCCAGGCTTGCCACTCTTCTTAGTCTACAGAAAATTATGTTTTAAGTTACGGCATATATGGGGCAGGGGGGCAAAGAGGAGGGAGGAAGCAGATCCCTTCTGAGTGCTATTTCTTAGTAGCAAAATTAGATCATATGACAGCTTACAGCTAACGAAGACACAACGCCAAAGCTGAGAGTCATAGGCACTTTGTTACTAATACTAGGAGAAATAAACAAAAAATGAAAGGAATTAAATAATCTGTTAAAAGAAATGGTTCTATGTCCACCTGATGCACCAAGCGAATGAATACCTGGAATCCACACTTGCCTACCGCATGACATCCTCTTTTAATAGTAGACACAGTTCAAGCAGAGTTGGACATCTCAGGACAAAAGAGTGTGAAGCTCAGACATACCTTTGTGTTCTCATTCTTCATAAAAAGCAATGAAGCAAGTTTAACAATTTTTGAAAAGTTCCAACCCTGAACTTATTTCTATTTGTAATCATACAAAGTATGAAAGAAAGACTTAGTTCTCAAAACTTGCAATGTTTCAACTGTGAAGTTAACACTAACTTGCTCCTTTTCCAAAGCTAAGTACTGCAATGTGATGTATACAGTTGATCAGACGGGCAGGGGAGACACCAGTTCAGATAGTTAACCACTGCAAGAGGAAGTGAACATTTGGAATCTAATTTTAATTACCTTTAATTAAAAGATTATACGGATCTTTTAAGGATGCAAGTAAAATTTGACCGAAATAATCTGTAAAATCCATCACTAGACCAGTCCTTGCCTTCAGCGTATGTACTTTTCCCCTTGGGTATGCGTGTCCTTTTTGAGGAAGAGGGCAAGGCAGAAATGCTTGGGGTTTTTTTTACTAGAAATTGGAATTAATTTCTAGTTCATTTCTTCTACAGTTTGTCATCCTCAGAAGGAAATTTTTGCTGACCTTTAGTAAGCCTTTCTTGAAGATTTAGTAACTGAACCAGAGAAGATGTATCTGTGATCACACAAAATGGGGATTTATTTTTGTTAAAGAATGCTTTCTCCCATCATTAACTTTGTACACTAGGACATGGCAGTCAAAGCTTAATTCCAGCATAATACACCCAAGGCAGCTTCATTTCTGCATTCCTGACTCGCTGCTTCTCCCCACAACTTTCAATTGCTGAGCATCCTTATAATCTTTATGTTATGCCAGATAAGCTACCTTCCACATTTCTTTGCTGAAATATGTGAAAGCGGTCCCACTCTCAACCTCCTCAGAAAGAGAAAATCTCTCCAAAGTTCACTTTCATTAGTGCAAAGGTAGGGTCCTACTGTTAAAAACCACAAAAGCATGGATCTTATGAAGTCAAGATGGGAGGTTAACAGTACACCAAGTATACTCAGCAAAAAAACCCTCAAACATCTGCCGTATCTGCCAAGCACTTTGAGAACAAAGGTCAGTTCTAAATATGATCCAACAAGTTCTATATAGAGCATAGTCAAAAATCTTACTGTATGTCCTTATTTAATAGCATTGGAAACATTACCTCTGATCCCGTAGCTTCTGATATGGTGGAGTATGAGCTCTCAGGAGCCCAGGAAATGCATTCTACCACATGCTCATGTTCTCGGAGCTCAGCTTTGCATTCCTTTGTTGCTACCACCCAAACACGCACTGTCTGGTCATTAGAACAACTGGCAATTAAGGTGCCATCTTGGTTAGGCCGCACCATGCGCACCCATTCTCTGTGACCTGTGAAAGTCTTCACACAGTACCTATTCAAAAAAAGAAATACAGCATGGCTCAATTAACATTGCAATAAAACCACTACACACGCCTTTGAAATTTAAGGATGCTTGACCTACTCTTTAGAAGTTAGGATAAATATTTTAGCATGCACATGTCCATCCTGGATGGTGATGTACAAGGCCATAAAACAGTTCACAGAAAGGAAGCTGAGATGAGAAATAAGTGACAGCTAAGAACTGGCAAATCCTTGTTAAGGTAGAAAGCAGGAAGCTCAGGGAAAAAACGAAGTTGACACAACAACTTACATTAAATAGGTATTTTAAGAACAAGTAGAGATTTACAGGTCATTCAGATAGCCTTCACCTAAAACTTTTAGCAAATGGATTAAAGAGACAACTGATGAACGAAACAAGCAAGACCAAAAAAAAATAAAAATCAGGAGACACATTGATCTGTGTCAAGAACGGTAACAGATTTCTCCTTCCTCCTCTCATGCTCCCTTTAAATTGCAGTCGACCACTGAATTTATATTCCTACCTGGTCCTGAGTTACAGTTCTACCCTCATAGCTCCCAGAAAGATAAAGCCACTGAGTTTTAATTAGTCAGTACTAAAACCTAAAACCCTGTGCTTAATGATTTAAGGCAGAATTCTTACTCTAAAGGGCACAATAACATACCGCAATTAAAATAATGTTTGCCAACATTCAAGATTTACATGGCCCACCTCCTACAAACAGTGGTTTATGCTCATTTTGTTTAGGTGCTGATTTTTAGCTAGAAGTGCACTTACCCTGTTTGGACTTCCCACATTTTGATAGTTTTATCCCTGGAGGCAGAAACTATATGATCTCCATTGGGCATGATGGCTACTGAAGAAACATTATGATCATGACCTAAAAACAAAATAAAACCTTTAAGTGGTACTGTAATAGTTTTTACAGAGCACACAGGACTTGCTAGTCATTTATCTTGGGCAAGTAGCTAGAGCAGTAGTGCATGTTTTATGGAATAATCTTTACATGTAAACTTGAAGTTTTATGAAATAATCATTTATATTTTTAGAAACCACACAGTCTAGACATTGAGCAGACTTGTTTCCAAAATTTCTTTAAGATCTTTTAAAACCAGACACTCACCACTGCAAGCAACACTTCTACAGAGTTTCAAAAGCTGGTCGTTTAGAAGAGAGAGCTGCTATGGTGACTGTCTTTAAAATTATCGGTTAGGTCTGACTACAGTATGCTGATGCACGATGCAGATGTTTAAAAGGAAAACAGATCTTCAGTGAGAGCCACGCCAAACCTCACTGCAGAACCTTCATGCTAAAAGACTGAATGTTTCCAGACATCCAATAGTAGGTTTTAATAAAACACTGTACTGTATTGATTCAAGAACCAATTAAGAACCAACTATATATATACGACAGCAACTTCTACTACTGTTGAGAGATCTGAGAGGAAGACAATCAAAGCTGAGTCAGGAAAAAGCATCCAGATCATTTCCTTAACACAAACTCCTTATGACCTAGCGTATGCAGTTTCAGCTCTTGACTTTACTCTTCCCACAAGCAATGGGACATAACATATCAAGGGAGGTAACACACTCTGTAAAGACGATTCATTTCCAGTATTACAAAAAAAACTAGAACTTAAACTTCGCAAAGTGGCAAACATTAGAATTAACTGTTTTGAAACGTTAGTCTTATCCAGAACAAGCTGTTGGTAGGGTTTTTTTGACAAGTCCAATGTACAAGCTTGACTATAACAGTTTGCATATAATTCATGCAGTTGTCTGTCTTTAAGCTCTGCAATTGTCCCTACTTAAATCGTCAGGATTAGAAATGAATCTTCCGAGATCAGTTATTTAGAGTATATATAAAATTTCTCAACAGGTTAGAGTCATTAAACAGCTTTCTTTTTTTCATCTGGAATCCAATGTTGTTTTTTTCCAAAAAGTTACAGCCAGTAAGTTCACTAATAAGTTGCTTTTTTTCTTTTATTGGCAGCTACACTGCATCTTGCAAGCCATGTGCCTACGATGTACAACTTCACAATTTTCATTGCCACTTCCATTTCTTCCACTACAAACTCAGAGCCTCTGGTGAACTCCTACTAAAAAGCAATCACACCAGTGATCAAGTACCTGAAGTGTCAGAGAATACTAGTTTCAGTGTAAGTATGGTACAACTACTCACTGAAACGATTATTTATTTCTTTTCCCTTGAAATTGAGTTCGAGGGGTGTAATTGGCAACACATGTGGCAACATCCACATTCATGTTACAACATCCAGTTCATAAAGATACACATACTGCATATGTGTGTTCATATAGAAATCTTTAAAGGCCAACGCCCCCCCTCCTTTAGCACTATTTTATTTTCTTGCCATCAGCCAGCTGCAACATCTGTTCTTCCTCTACAATAGTGTTCTGTGGTGTCTAAAGAACTGTATGCACAGAAGTCAACACCTTTCTGTTTTCTTTGGTATATACACACGTGTGTATTTTTGTAAGTCTCAAACATTCTCTATTCCTACTCACCACTTCTACAAGAAATTAAAAGCAAGACAAGCAGCAGTATAAAAATGCTTTTACATCAAGACTATAAAATACATAGTTGCTGCCAATATTAGAATCTTATAGTTGTGGCTGGTTTACTTTCCCATTTTTTCCTATGGCTTTTGAGCCTAAAGCAAAGGGTACATTCATTCAAAATCAGACAAACAAGAAGCAAAACACCACACAGCATATACAGAACACCTTTGGCACTAATTGCTTCCTTCCTGAAGCAGTGTATCAGGGAAAG